TAGCCCTCGGCCTTGCACCCGAAGAACAGCGACGTCTTGAGCAGCTCGGTCGGGGGGTAGGTCATGACCGAGTTGGTGATGTAGAAACGGCGGAAGAAGACGGCGGCGGTGGATCGAATCTCGGTCGGCAGCTCGCAGAACTGCGCGGCGCGAATCAGCTCCGTGGTGAAGAACTGCACCAGCATCGTCTCCTCGGCGGGCGTCAGAAACTCGGGCTGGGCGTCGGCTGCGAATCGCGGCGAGATTTGCTGCTTCGCGAGGTCGTTGGTCTTGACGCGAAGCTCCCGCAGGCTGGTTGGCGAAAAGGACCAGAGCCGGAATTGGCTAGATTGCCGGTATCTCTCGTCCTCGGTCGTCATCTTGGCGGGCGATGCAGAGGAGTGAGAAAGAGAAGAGAGGAGGAATGCGTGGTAGATTTGGAGGAGAGAAAGAAGGGGAGGAAGAATGACGCCGAAGATCAAAGCTTCGAGAATCGCACGTGCAGTACAGTGCTTGGTGGAGATTATTTCATACTGTACGCCGAGGAGCTTCTGCCACTGCTGAGCTACCTGTTTCTCAGTGCAAATAATATCACAGGAACAAGGCAATTCTCGAATACGCTATTCGTGTCAATTCTGCTCAAAGACCAGCTTGAAAATGCACCACTCCAGCTCTATACGTATATGTCAAACACAATGCTGTCAACCTCCATTCTAGAGGATTCCTCTCCCCAAAACCAATCTGATGCATCTCAAACAATGACGCTACTAATAAAACCCATCCGTATCCAGTCAAGGACATATAAACCACTCCCGTCATATCATTTCGTTAAAGATGTTTCGAGACCAAGAACGACAAAAACAGCAACGCCCCCTGGCTTTGACCCTTTTATAATCTCTTCCTTTTTCTTCCTTTTCAAAGGCCTCGCTCATGTCCTCCACCCCGGGACTTAGTATCCCGGAGTCGACATCTTCCTGGGAATAGGAGGGGGCGGAGGCTTCTTGGCCCGGTTGACGGGGGGAGGCGGTGCCTTCTTGGTCTCTGTCGCCTGGGGGTTCACGTGGAAGCTGCCGTAGCTGGTTGCAGGGCTGACACTACGCTCGCCCCAGCTGGGGGTGTTATCCCCGCTGTACATGGAGTTGTCGTCAAAGATGTCTTCTCCTCTGCTTTCGGCAACGCTGGGCGGCGGCATTCTAGTAAACGAGTTGGACGCAGCTCTCGCGCGGATTACGGGCGGGTTCCTGGTATCAAAGGTCGCCGATCTCGTCATGGGCGGCCTAGTTGACGCTGGCGGAGGCGGAGGAGGCGGCGGCTCTCGGGTCGACATGGTGCGGGCGAGTCTGGCGACGGGTGGTGAGGCCGCGCCCTCGTATTCCTCATTGATGATGGTGTGTCGAACGGCCTGTCCGGCGGGCTGTGACCGGATGGACATGTTGGAGTAGATGCGCTCCAGGTCTGGCCCCTGTGAAGACGCATAGCAGGACTCTGCGCCTGTCGCCCACGACTTTCGGATCCGGCGCAGCTCGTTGGCGGCTCGCTCGTGGTATTCCAGCTCGGCATCGAGAAACGAGGTCAGGGCAGCGGTCGTGTCCTGCTCTGCCTCTCGAATGTCCTGCATGCGCTGGTAAACGTCTTCGGTGCTATCGTCAAACTTGGTCTTATTGACGCGCATCTCTTCCTCGAGACGGATGTCGTCCTTTTTCGCCTTTTGCATCTTGCCCATGGTGGCATCGTAGGCGAGTCGGCGGTTTTCGAGCTTCTTGCGAGCAGCCTATTTAGGTGTAAGCAAGCAATTGAGTGAAGTCATAGCTTAAAAGTCATACCTGGTATTCCTTCATCATGCCAAGGTTCTGCTCGATATGCTGCTGCCAGGTGGCGTTGGCACAGTCCAGGTAGGTGGTCTGGAGCTCGGCGAGCTGCTCGTTGGCATTGCCCATGGCAGCAAGACGGCGACTGTATTCGGTATCGGGCAGCTCTGCCGCGTGGGCGGACATGGTACGGCCAAGGTGAGCCAGAGGCATGCTGCGGCTGCGGTCCTCGAGAGCGTCGCAATGGCGGCTGAGCCATCTGGTGTAGATGGCCATGGATTTCTGCAGACGCTCCATGCCTGTATACTCGGTCAGTGGATGCCAATTGAAATGCATAGGATCGGTAAAGACGCGCCTTCGTGTCGGATATCCATCTCTGCCTCGAGTACTCTGAACTCATCTGTATGAGTCGCCTTGGCCTCGGCGCCCATCTTCTCGCCAGCCCACTGCATGGCGCGGTCGATTTTGCGTGTAAAGTTCATGATGTCGCCGGTCGATTTGGTCCAGGTATGAAGAGATTCCCAACGACAGAGAATCGAGATAGAGACAAAGGTGTCACCAGTAGAAGCTAAGGGAAAATTGGCAAAATTGAAGAAGCAATGAAAGACCACGAGCAATAGAAGAGAACAGCACGTGAGCTCGAAACCGCTGCTTATCCTCCTCGTCCACGCGTTGTTTGTACCAACAGCAGCGGGATGGATTGGACCGGTCCCTGGCTAAATGCTGGCACCTATTCCGAAGACAGACAAAGGCAACGTATGGTCCTGAATCTGGCCCCAGTCCGGCGTGTCTAGTGCTTGCCCGAGAACGGAGTGTGTGGAGTGTTGATGGGTTCGATGGGATCGGATGTTCAAGATGGGGAAGCAGAGCGTCGTGTTGGAGAGGGCCAGCCCACGTTGGAGAGCAAAACGAAGGTGTTTAAACGAGCGAGAGGGAGAGAAAAGACAGCGAGTGATCAACGAGAGACCGTCAGTCAGCTTCAAGTTGTAAGAGGCTGGAAGAGCGCGAAAGTCGTAAAAAGCGAAGGGAACGAGCGAGAAGGACTTTGTTGAGGTGGCGGGAAAAGCACTTTTGTGTCTGGCAGTGACCTTCCACCTTCCTTTCTTCCATTCCCCCAATCGAAGGCGTCATGCCCGTCTGCGGTCCACGCCTGCGACACTCGCCAGGGGGGCCGCCTAGCGCCGTCGGCCCCTGTAACGGGCTCTGCGCGGGCTGCCCATTGGCCGGTTCCAGTGGTGTGGCTGCCCCGGAGCGTCGCCTCTCTCAGGGGCTTCAGTGCGGTTCCATCTCTGCCCGGGGCTTCTGGGCCGCTCTGGGGCTGCCCTACCCGCTCAAGCCGCTACGAGATTGGACGAGGGTGGCCGCGCTGGAGAAGAAGCCCCAACCACCACGAGGGCGAGTGGCGAGTGGATGGGCAAGATCAGAGCGTGTTGCGCGTCCATTGTGTGCTGATACGAGTCGCGGACAAGAATACGAGGTGCTCTATCGAAAGTATATTGACGAGAATTCATGGCTCGCGGAGATGCGTGGACGATTACGATAGATGAACTGCATGTTATGGTTATACGGTACAAGTAGATATCATATACTGGTTTCAAGCCTTCAGCCAGTATTAGACACAACACGAAGCTTCAAAACCTCGTATCTGAGATCTTCAGCGATCATCCCAATGACATGCACCAACCGACCGGGCCCTCTCCTATTTATCCTCCCTCACCTGTGACACGACACTGCCTCGACGATCTAAGCCTGATCTACAGACGAAATGTGCCGTCTAATTGCAGTACATATGCAATCGCTGCTGATGTTTCTTTGTACTGTATAATATGCTCACGCGCGCAGTCACTCATGTCGTTTTCGGCGCAATCTCGCTGCCGGCCAGAATAGGACAGAGACAAAGTGCTTCAGGTGCGGCAGCAACTGATGGCGACGCCGAAAGCCTCACGTTTGACGTTTGTGCAGCTGCCGGAGAGCCGTGCCGTTGCCGTTGCTGGTGGCCTTTCCGTTGCTCCAAACGACATGGAGGCTGGACATTTACCAGGTTTCTTTTACAGTGTCGACGGATATTACGCGTGTTCTGCTGCATGGATGGAGGTAAAGGCACCCTTCAGCTGTCGATGTGCATCGCATCGCATCGCTTCGCGGCAGGAACAGCACGATTTCACATGCACATGGCCATCGTCCATGTACATGCTATGTACTCACGCATGCACACATACAGCTCAACTTCATCACGAGTCGATCAATTTCACGACGATGAACCCTTTTCCAGAAGCCCATCAATTCCCTGACCCCAGCCCGATTCGGTGCTGGAGCAGTGCCCCAAATATGCGGGTACACGCAGAAAAGGAGCATGTTTCACGTCTCTTTCGAAACGGCCCCAAAACCGGCCGGAAAGCGGCACCTTGAAGACAGACGTTTGGTCATGGGCCATGTTGTCGGAAACATGGCTTCTGGTTGTCTTGCCCACATTATTAACCAGTCATTCGGTCCTGGCAAGTTTTACTTGAGTTCATCTATTAATAGGTAACCAGGGCATGGAGACTCTGCATCGTGACTTACCTTATCATAGTATCAGAATGTTGTTTTACAACTGGAAGCTTTGTTAATTGCAAGTATGCGGCTCTCCGTACCTTACCTACATGTACTCATACAGGTACCACATGCACGTACGTAACATGAAGTCAACTTATGCGACAACGGTGACTTATTGGGTGTTAGCAGCAGTCACTCCCGATACCTTGATTCTACCATTTCTCGTCTTGATTTCGAATCTACAACAGCCAAACACATATTGGCCTATGAACATGAAGCAACCAATATGAACAAAGGTGGCTTGCGAGGCCGCCAACTCTCCAGTCTCCATCTCTGCCTACCTTACCTGCACATTCCCCGCATCTCATCCTTCGCTCCCCAACTCGCAACTCACCACTTCAAACAGAAACAAACTTGAACACACCATCCTGCAGGCAACCAGAACAAAGCAAACATGTTTCTACCATTTACGGAAACGGCGTGCCATCATCCTACCCCAAACAAGGTTCGCGTAGCAATCGCTCACACCAGCCCACTCGGAGCCTTGCTTCAATTCTCTTAGCGCAGAGACGAGCGTCCCTTTGAAGCTTATCGAGGCTTTCTTGTTCTTATCCATGTACCAAAAGACGTCACGCTTGGAGGCTACACGGAGGCCTCAAGGCAGACTCGCCGGCTAACATGGCGTATTCCTTCCAACGTTCTTGCATCCAGTTAGCACGCCTGTTCATATATTCACAGGCCAATGGTGACGTGATGAGCTGCGTAACGTGAGGCCGTAGCTCGACTCCCCAAAAGATAGATATCAAGCTCCTCAAGACCTCTCGCCTCAACTTCCCATCTTTCATCATCAATCCCACACACAAACTCCATCAAAATGAGCTCCCAGCACCCTCCGTACCCACCGCAGCCGCCGTACGGAAACCAGTTCCCGCAGGGCTTCCCGAACCCGAACCCGCCCTGGTACGGCTACGGCTCGCCTCCGCCGCAGCATCAAGGCCAGCAATATCCCGGCGGGCCTCCTCCTCCGTCTCAATCCCCTCAGCCTCCGCCTGGACAGTATCAGTACCCCCCGTCAGCTGGACCGCAATATCAGGGCCATCCATCTCCTCCGCCCGGCCAGCAGCCTCCGTACGGCCAGCAGTATCCGCAGCCGTACAGCCAGCCGCCCGGATACCCTCAGCCAGGATATCCTCAGCAGCAATACGGCGGTCCAGCACAGGTAAGATGAACTGACCCGTCTCATCATTCATCATCATCGACCAACTCACACGTAATTCACAGCAGCCACCTCCCCAGCAATGGCAACAACAACAACAACAACAACAACAACAACAACAACAACAACAACAACAACAACAGCCTGGCTATCCCCCAACTCAACCCCCGGGCCAGCAGCAGCACCCATACTACGGCGCCCCCGTACCGTCAACACCCGCCTCTCCAGGCTACGACGTCTCCCAGCGCAATCCCATGCAACGCATCGACACCTCCGCCGACATCGAAGTCCTCCGCAAGGCAATGAAGGGCATGGGCTGCGACGAGCGCGCCCTCGTCCGCGTCTTCGCTAGCCCAAAGTACCAGCACCCCCTCGCCATGCAGCAGCTGCGGGACGACTACGACGCCCGCTTCGTACGCGACCTAGATGGCGACATCAAGGGCGAGACAAAGGGCGAGTTTGAGGACGTCCTGCTAGCTCTGCTCAGGGGCCCCCTCGCCCACGATGTCTTCACGCTCGTCAAGGCCCTCGACCGAGCGGGCACCGATGAAGATGCCCTCATGGATGTGCTTTTGTGCCGCTCCAACGCCGACATCAGCGCCATCGTCGCCGAGTTCAGGCACGTCACTGGCAGGAACCTGATCGACGTGATCAAGGACGACGTCGACACCAATCTCTTCCGACTCTACAGCATGGTCCTGTCCGCGACCCGCGCCGAAGACGCCGTGCCGGTTGTACCCGCGGACGTCGAGGCCAAGGTCACCGAGCTGCAGCGCGCAACGGAGGGCACCGTCGGCGCAAACACCGTGGCCGTGGCCCAGATCCTCACGAGTGCGAATGCCGCCCAACTGCGCGCCATGAGCGCCGCCTACCAGAACAAGTACCATCGCAGTCTGCAGGATGTCATTGAGCGGGAGTTCAGGGGGGACATGGAAGATGCGCTGTTGCGGATCCTGACGTCTGCTACGGGGGACAGCGGCAAGGTGGATGTGGATTGGCTGAGGGCGCCGCTGATGAAGACGATGAAGAAGCATAGTCTCTTCATCTACCGGGCTCTGCGGCTGTATTGGGGGGACAGGGCGAGATTGCAGGCTGCTCAGATGGCGCATCAGCGGTATTACCATAAGACGCTGGGGGCGCAGCTGAAGGAGTTGCTGAGCGGCGATTATGAGCAGCTGATGATTGCGTTGATTGGAGAGAAGTAGCCACGGTGATTTCCACAATGTCAGTAATAGTTTGCGCGAATGATGAGAATGACTTTATGTTGTATTGACTCAAACCTCACATCTCTCTCGGTGGGCTTATACGTCGACCTTGTTGATCTTGCCCGTCTTGACGTCGTAAATGTACCCCGTGATAGGCACATCCAGAACCGCCGGATGCTTCCTCAGCAGCTCAACATCCGTCTTGACGCTCTCCTGAAGATCCTTGATCGTCAAGAACGCGACATGGCTCACATCCTCCCCAGTGTTCTTCTTGACGGCCTCACGGAACTCGTCCTCCTTAATAATCAGCATGCCACAGTCCGTCTACACATCGCAACTTCAGTCAGTTTCCATCAAACAGCATGGAAAGAGGATGAGGAAAAAACGGGATTCATACGTGGTGAATGACGACGATTTCACGCGTTCCCAGAGCCTGTTGCGAGATAATCACAGAGCGCAAAGCCTCGGCCGCGCGGCCGCCGGCGTTGCGGCAGACGTGGGCGTGGCCCTCTTCCAAGCCGAGGAACTTGGCCGGGTCCAGACGGGCGTCCATGCAGGTCAGAACGAAGACCTTTCTTTTTTTTCATCATTTGTTAGCAAAACAAGGTCAAGATAACACATGAGCAAGAGATGGAGGGACCGGATGGGACGCACCGGCCGGGAGGCATGGGCAAGTGGCCCTTGTCGAAAGTAGCAGCATACTGCTGGTTGGCGAGTTCAAATTCGCTGGCAACGGTCATTGTGAATGATTCGGGTTCTGTGAAAGAAGAATACGAGTATTAAGAAGACGAAGAATAAGGGGATTAAATAAAGTGCAATGTCTGAGAACTCTGGTGGTTCGGGTTATGCCTCAACAAAGGGGTTTATATCTGTCGTCTCACAGATCAAACACGTTCGGACAAGAGACAACATCATCTCAGTTACAAAGCAATACCACCCCCACTTACTCTGTACACCCACTTACAACGCCTTTCATAGCTTCAACCAGAGCTCCTCCACCATTCTCTATCAGAAAGTCGCCATCCATCCAGAATCTGTCGCCATGCACCTTCAGTGCGGGGAAGCCTCTTGCTCTCGTCGGGAACGAGCCAGTCAGTCAGACTTGGGGGGCGCCACATTGTCAAGAAGAGGGCAGTAGTCGGCGATCAAGCGGGATAACTATCAAGCCCGACAACTGTCAAGCCCGATCAAGTAAGACATGGAGATGTCGCCCGGTTCCGGAGAAGAGGCTGCGACGGGCCGGAAGAGATAATTAAAGCCGTGTGGTATCGACGGCCGAGAGCCCGGGGTTTTGGGTCGGTAGCATGGGGGCAGACGGGCATTGTGCATGTAGACAAGGGGCCGAATTGGGGGACTGGAGGAGCAGCTCGAGAGGAGCGTCCAATGGTGGTGTTCCGGAGAGTGGAATAGCATTGCTGGTTCGCGACGAATTTCAGCTACTTTCTAAGCATGGTGTGTGTTTAGTCAACATGAAGGGGGTTGATGTCGGTCAAAACGTGTCACGGCGATGCTTCACCTCGGCGATGTTCGCAAAGTACTGCTGCAAGGAGAGTCAGTTGACGTGGAGCTGTGTCGAGTCCAGGATGGAGCTCCTGGCTGGCAAGGCATTGCTTCTTCAGCAAGCTTGGGAAAGTAGGCGCATTAGGTCAATAAGCTATGATTCTGGTTTCGCAGAGTCTTTCCGTTAGCGTGAAGCTCGGTGTTGCGAGATACAGGGTGAATCAATGCGATGCAGATTGGCAGGGTAACGGAGCAAAAACTGGATGATAGTTCCCAAATTCTGCTTGATGTCAAACATGATCCTGTGGAAGAGACTGGAGGCTCGAATTGGTTCGAATTGGTCAGCAGATGCCGGATGATGTTGCATGAGCTGATCGTCAGGTGTCTGGTACAAGTAATAACACGAGCATCTTCTCGTCCTTGTCGAGCTCATGTCCCGTTTCGGCAAGTAAAGGCGAAATTGAATTTGATGAGCTAAGCAGACAGCTGTGCTGATGACAGACGTGGCTGTGCAGCCCATTGTTTGCTCTCACCAGCCATATCAACGAGCCACATGACGACATCAGTGAGCATTTGGAATACGAGTTACATTGCACCGGTTCATGTCTTGACGCTTCCAGCGGCTTCGGGGCATTTCCCAGTGATTACAGGCGCGGGACGCAGCATTACAGTGGCTGCAGCAGCTGAGCATTGCCCATCTCGGGCACTGGGGCCGACGGCGATGCCGCTTTTGCTATTGAAGATTAGAAATGAAGCTGAAGCTGAATATTCCACACGTCGCTGCAATAAACTGTCATGTCGCTGCGACAAAACAATTGCTTAGCAATGCTCTTTCAACCCAAAAGCTTCTCATAACTGTCTATATATTCCCATTGAGTCTCTTCTCCTTCAATCATCTCCATTCAATTCAAGCTTCAACCAACAAACAAGAACAACCAAGACAAACGTGCCCTGCGGCATATTGCGGATCATTGCGGCCCGCACTCGAACCCCGCCACTTCCATACCAGTTCAACAATTGCACCATCGCAAACAAGCTCCCTGACGACCGAACGTCTCCGATCCATCCATACCTCTTCTCTCTCGTCTTGACTCTTCTCATCTACTGAATCAAGTCTCCAACTCTTCAGAAAACAACCCTTCAAAAAACAACTTTTCAAGTTTAAACTCTCAACAACATCAAAACCAACACACAACCCTCCAAAATGGGCGGCAACATCCACCACATTGAATCCTCGGAGCAGCTCGACGCCCTCCTCGCCTCCACCACCTACGTCGCCGTCGACTTCTACGCCGACTGGTGCCCGCCCTGCAAGGCCATCGCCCCCATCTACGAAAACCTCGCCGGCAAGCACTCCGTCGACAAGTACCTCGCCTTTGCAAAGGTCAACGTCGACCACGTCCAGGACGTCGCCGCCCGATACGGAATCACCGCCATGCCCACCTTTCTCTTCTTCAAGGAGGGCCAGCAGGTTGCCGTCAACGGCAAGAACATGATCCAGGGCGCCGATCCCAAGAGCCTGGGTGCTGCAGTTGACAAGCTGAGCGGGCTGGCGCAGAAGAGGGTCGAGGAGGCCAATGCCGCGTCTGCTTAAGAGACCAACACTCTTCTCATACGACGGACGATAAAATGGGACGTGTATATGGAGTATAGATGGGGGAAATATATTTGCAAATCTGGGCGCACGGGGAAACTACATCACGGCAAAAGGCAGAGCGGCTTTCTCGCACTTTAGAGTTAGGATATTGATTCACACGGTTAATTCAGCGTATTGCGTGGAGTATTCTCTTTCCGGTGATGACTCGTCTAGACGTGAATTGTACTCTTGCTATGGCAAGCAGCTGTGTCCAGGGTTATAGTATATCGTTTGGCATACCTATGCCATACCCTATATCGCCCTCAAAATAACAACTTTCCTCCCACCACATGCATCGCAACCTAGTCCTCTATCGTCGAACGCTGAGATCAACCACTTTTCTCCTCGCCTCCAAGCAATCTAGATCTCCGTGGACTTTGAAAGTGAGCTCACATCCTCGGACGAGCAACAGATCATCCCCAAGCCCTGCATGCATCAGCCCACATGCATCAGCCCCCTTGCCTAACAGGTCCCAAGCCAGCCGCATGCCACGATGCTCCTTTCTCCTCGCATCCCTCCAATGGCATTCCACAAAGCCATGCAGGTGTAGGTCAAATCAAATAAGCTTATCCTATCCGCAGACAAATTACGTAGTCTGTACAACCCTTTCGCATCCGCTATACGTAAAAGGGTACGAAAAGCATGAGCCCTGCGTCAGAGAAGCAAGGGAGGTATCTCAAGCAGTTATACGAAGTACTATTCCAGCCAGAGACACTTGGCATAGGCTTTGCAAAAGGACTTGACCAAACACCATGTTTCACCATTGGGATTGTGTATACTACTACGAGCTGCCCTACTTACACGGCGGGGGAAGCTGAATGGCAAATGTCTCCGTACTTTGTGATTCTCATCCAGTAAGACGGTACATGTGTCTTCCTAGTCGCATACAGAGCACATGTAAGAGCTTTCAGCTCTGCTGCTGGGGAATCTGTGTGACACACTCGAGGCGGTGTCGTGGAATGCTGACCTGTCTCGGATGGTCGCAGTGCAACTTGATATGCAATATGCACGATTCTCTCCGGCTGTTGGACGCGGATGATCGGGTGTCGATAGCCTGCATATGTTCTCCCGTGTAAGAGGATACGCCAACAGAAGGTATATAAGACCTGAGGTTGTCTTGGTTCCAATGCCCTCACCGTCTCTACATCTCAACAAGAGCAAGATCAACGAAAGGATCATCATCATCTCAGCACTATTCTACACTCCAAACACCATCATCAAGATGCTCCTCCAAGCCATCCTCCTCACTCTCACAATCCCCCTCACCCTCGCCCAATCCGACATCGACCGCCCCTGCGGCTTCAAAATGGCCCCCTGCCCCTTCGACATGAAGTGCGTCCCCGACAACCCCCGCTGCCCTCATCCCAGCCGCTGCCCGGGCCACTGCGAGTTCAAGAACAAGTACGACCAGTGCGGCGGCTTCACGCCCCGGCCGCACAACTGCCGCAACGGGTTCCAGTGCCAGGACGATCCCCGCCTGCCGCCCAACTGCGGCATGGCGTGCGATGCCCCGGGGATTTGCGTTCCCAAGGAGACTCATTTCTGTGGAGGGTTTATAGGGTTGGCTTGTCCTAGGGGGTTGTACTGCTATGATGCGCTGGACGAATGTGATCCGGAGAATGGGGGTGCGGATTGTGGAGGAATATGTTTGTAGAGTGAGCGATTGAGTCTTGAAACCATGGCTTGAGGCTGCTTATGAAGCTGTATTGGCCATTAAATGAAGGAGTCTGATACATACAATGGTGGAAGGGATCTTATATGACCTTTTTCACTCAGCCTTTGCCCACGACGGTGATTGTAGACTTACATCGAGATAAGATTGGTATGAATAAATACACGTTCCTGGAGATCATGGCTGTTATTCTAACCCCAACCTTCAATATCCTGAAATGAACTCATATTGCTCTCCTTATCTCCAAACCTCTAGTTGGCCGGCTTGGAGTTCGAAGCCATGGATGCCAAGATGCGCTGCTCCTGTTCTGGCAAGTATTCGCGTAAAATAGGCCGTACTAATGGCATCCAAATCAGCCCTTCCTCGTGTGTCATCGGCTCCTCCAGAACCTGGAGCAATAACCGTACACAAAGTTGCTTTTTTCTCTTCATTGGATGTTGAGCGTTACTTGATTGCATTGTGACCTCCTGATTTTGCCGCAATTCTTCTTCCTCGCGGAGTAAATCAAGAAAATGTCGAACGAAGGATTCGTTGTTAATCGATTGTTTGCGCCGAAAATGGAAGAGATCTCCCACCACTTCTATCCCAAAGGTTTCCAGCAAAGATACCATGGCGTCTTCGCTTACTCTCACTTTATACATCGTTTCCTGAATGAGTAACCCGAGCGTTGATACCGCGCTGTAGCAGTCGCCAGAAGCGGCATCGACAGCTTCCCTTGAGACGATACCTCCACCATGGTGCTGAAGTAAGAAATGGATCAACGACTGGTTCTTATATGGGGCTAAGACAGCAAACTGCTCCTGTCGAGAGAGAGGATTCTGCACAGCCGGATTCTCAAACAACAGTCTCACTGTGTCTGCGCCGTTCGCTGACTGAGCCGCAGTTCGCAGGATATCCTTGGTTATTGTAATCTGAGACGGACAGTAGGTGAGGAACGTTCTAAGGCAACGCTGGCCCTTTGATTTGTTCTCTAGGGCGACTATAATGGCAGACTCAGGAGCAATCAAGTAATCGGGGAATTTCTCAAAAAACGCTTCCAACCGCCGATGGGAGTGTCCAGCCAACCTCGTAAGGATTGCCGATGCAATGGCAATGTCTTTGTCCCTCTGACGCAACAGAATGCGAATAGTTTCCTCTTCCGTATCATTGCATGGGTTTCTCAGGATGGCGTCTACGATCGCGGCAATGTTATTATAGTCTTCAGTCTTCTGGGACAAAAGGAAGTCCATCGCCATATCGCTGCTTCGTGAGTTCTTCGCGGCGGCAAGAAGCATCTTTTCGGTGACAATGAGCTGAGTGTTGAAGCGAAAAAGGATTTTCAAAATCTCTCCAGGGACGCTCGAGTTCTCCGCGGCGGCAACAAGCATCTCTTCGGTGACAATGGGCTGGGTGTTGAAGCGAAAAAAGATCTCCAAAATTTCTGCAGGGACGCTCGAGTTCTTTGTGGCGCATATGATGGCTTCGGAGTCAACTGTCAACTCCCCGCCGCGATATCGCAGCAGTAACTCGACTAGCTCGCCATTTCTATCATATTGTGCTGCACTCCTGAGGGTCCCTTGGTCGACAAAGAATGCTCGACCTTTGATAATCTTTTGCAGATCCTTGCACATCGGTGGGATCTTCAACAGAGTTGGGACAAGGTTCTTTCCATGGAGCTCTCGCAAGCTGGCCACCAGCTCCCGCATCGAACGAGGTCTTTTTCGCCATTCCAAGAACTCCGGCTCATAAGAATAGATGTATAGATAAACGTCTCGAACCAGATCTTGTTCACATTTACCATAATCGGGCATCAGGGTGGTTGTGTCCCTCAAGTCGGCAGACATGGCTCGCAAGGCATAGACGAGATCTCGTGGATCAGTGGCGTCACTACCCCCAAATTCGATCAGGAGCACATGAAGGGTTTGGCTTCGACTCCACCGTGAAGTTTCTCGCCATTGAGATGGCATGAGATCGATGACGGATTGGCAGTGAGCATCAGGCGTAACTCGCAATAGCAGAGGAGCAAGGCTGAATAGGCTGGCTGACACAGCCTTCCTACCGCAAGAGACGATACCAGCCCTTGCGAAAGCTACCTCTTGTAGAATCCAGACTCTGCGAAACCACGGCCGTGTCAAGATTTCCTCCAGGCCTCTTCTCTGCATATTCTCGAGACCAGAATAATACACCTTTGACTGGGAACGAGCCCAAATATTTTCCCAACGGACATCTTGGCGCGACCAATCCCTACAACCAAGCTTCACACTTGCTTGCTGCAGCAGCTGCAGAGAGTCCATGAATGTGTCTGTCTCATACGAGCCTCGGCCTAATCGAAAAATCACACGATCGGCTTCCTTGTAAATGCCTCCCATCTGGGCGACTTGGTGTCCTTTCTCTTTGTTGTTGGCTTGATCAATGCACACTGCATCAACCCAAAGGACCCGGTCTTCATCCTCTTGGCGAAGGTGAAGAAGCGCTTGGTGGAGGTTAAAAGTAACCGTCATATGACAGCCGTTGACAATTATACTCCCGGTCCGATTGGGAGAGCCCCAAGCGTAGGAGAGGGCTTCATAAGCCACAGTGTTTTCTCGTCGATGTAGTTCAGCCTGGAAGAGCTCGCAAGATATTGGGCCTCTGAGTCCATGATGCAGGCGAAGTAAACGAATCGCAGCGCAGTCTAGATTCAGAGGCTCGTACTTGTATTCTTCCATGACTGCATGCAGCGGATATCTCAATGGACAAAATAAGGAATAAGGGATCGACTTATTGTTGACAGAATGCGGGCCTGGAAGAATAAAAGAGGGGTCTGCCTATGAATGCAGGCAGGACCCTGAACATGAAGGCTCTTTTATGTGAGGCTGGATCCGATGTCGTTCAGCCTTGGGCCGCAAAATTACCCAAACGATAGCCACCACACGTTCAGCGAATATAACCCTGCCACGATGGGCTGCATGGGGCATTGGTTAGCCCTGGCTGATCGAAGACGAATCAGAATAGGACAAACAGTCCTACAGGCAGGGCGAAAATATCAAAACGTAACTCTCAAGTAATTTGTGATTGCTGTTTTGCATTTGTACATGCCATGTGTCTATACTTGCTTGATAAGGTAGGCTGATTGCTGCCTATGCACCGTCCACTTACACAGCCTCATATGTACAACTCCTTCACATCCTCCTCAGGCAGAGTTAGTAGGCAGTTCCATAAGGCTTCAGCTCAATGCCTTCACCTTCAATCGAAGGCGGACCCTGCGGACCCTTCAACTTGCTGAGCTCCAGCCACTTGTTCATAGCGTCCGTAAAGACCTTTTCATGGTCCGGCCGGCTCATGTCGAGGGGCTCATAGCCCTGACCAATCAGTTTCATCCTGCATCACGGTCAAGTCAGTACATGTATCCAAGAGTCATATCAAATACTGGCGGAAGAGACTTACTGTGCAGTAGCAGCAAAGTTGGTCAGCATAAAGTTGTGCTCTCCTATCAACGGCTTGATGGATCCCTCCACAACCCCATCAAGGATCTTCTGCGGCAGCGCAGGCTCGTGAGCAGCCGGTCGTCCCAGACCAATTCCATGCACCGTCTCCAACGCCTTGACCATACCGGCCGTTGTCCGCAGTCCACCGGTGACGTACGCCTTTGTCTTCTTCAGCTCGGGGACAACCATCTCCGCAAACTCGATGAAGAAGGCCTCTCGCTTAATGGTAGACTCCCGCTTGTGCTCAAAGGCAAGAGACTCGTACGTGCCGCCGGACAGTTCAACCCAGTCGAAGCCGCTCTTCTCGAGCTCGGCGCAGAGCTGTCTGCATTCCTCGGGCGAGAATCCGCCCTTTTGGAACTCGGCGCTGTTGAGCTTGATGGCGAGGCTGAAGGACTTGTCCGGCACGCGGGCGCGGATCGCCTTTGTGATTTCAAAGATGAGTCTGGAGCGGTTCTCCAGAGGACCGCCGTACTCGTCGGTTCTCAGGTTGGTGGATGGCGCCAGGAACTGAGCCAGAAGATAGCCGCTGCAGTCTGTTAGTATCCCTCTCCGCAAGTGTATCTGTCGAGTTGCAGTGTGAATGTAAAGCTGGAGGAAACTCACTGTGCGGCGTGAAGCTGTGCACCATCGAAGCCAGCCTTGTAGCAGTACTCCGCCGCGTGGGCAAAGCCGTCGATGACCTTCTCAAAGTCCTCCTTCTCCATCGGCCTCGGCTTGGGAAACGATCCAAAGGCCGACTCCAGGAGTTGAACATCGCTGGCAGAAATGGGATTCGGCTGGATGTACTCCTGAACCTGTCGCCCGGGGTGGCTCAGCTGCGTGTAGACAAGACTGCCGTGAGCCTTGGCCGCAGCGGCAATTTCCTTGAACTTTTCAAACCTCTCTCCAGAAAATGGAGCACCAGGGGGGATGATGTGGTTTCCGGCGTTTTCGAGCTGGTCGTAGTCGATCATGGTGTTGCCGAGCAGAATGACTCCGAATCCGCCCTCGCCCCATCGCTTGTAGAGGTTGACGAGTCCCTCGTTCGGGATACCTCGCTTGGTGAGGTCCTTGTCGTCCCAGCTGGCCTGCAGCTCGGACATGGCGGCCTTGAGGAAGCGGTTCTTGGCAACCTTGCCGCTGAACTCGAACTCGAGGGGCTGGCCGAGGGGCGCAGGGTCCAGCTTCTCGGACGATGAGTTTCTGACCGACATGGTGAAAATGTTGTAACTAAATGATTTATGCTTTTTTATGGGTATCTAGTAAGTGCTTCTGTGAAAGGGTATCGATGTGTTGGTCTTGCTCGTCGAATAGTTTCTGGCCGAGGGGCATATTGTCCTTTATAACTCGGTGGTCTCGGTAACAATGACTCGATACTCTGGATACCTTCTCATGTGGAGACGACCGATCACCAAGAGCCCACCCCCGACTCATGTGGCTCCTGGGACGGCACGATCAATGCAAAAAGCCGATACCATGCTCACGGTGGTGATCACACATCTCTTGATAAGCGGGAAAATGGCTTCATCGCGTTTTACTACGCCAAAGTGCGAGTGGAGCAGGAGAACGAAATGACAATCGGGACAAGAGCCGGAGCTAGGAGCGGCAGGGCCGTTGGTCCGGCTTGGAAATAGAGAGGATTCCATCGGCGGCGCCAGCTAAAAGAGCCTCGATTGTTCAGCGACTCAAGGACAGATAGAGTGTGGCTTACAGATGAGAGAAGCCGCTAGCCTTCAACTCCCACCGGCAGGCTCTTTCAACGAACCTTTTAACACTTCGTTTCGAAGTTAATCTACAAGCATCATGCAAGCTAATGAACACCATGTACTCGTATATGTGATACGCACCTACAAGAGTTGCGTACTAGACTAGTTGGTGCCCCTGACCTACTAGGTATGTGTGCTGCTAGTCCACAGATCTATGATTCGTACATACTGCCACTACTGGGTAGACTAGCATCTCAATGACAAGCCGCGGCAATTCACGTCAACTGTGGGCCATAACATAGTCATAACCTAGGTAGTCTTGACGTTTGGACAACGAGTCGCGAGAACATGAAGCCGAGAGTTGTGGTTGTCTATTTCTCTTCGCTCTGTAGTCAGCAAGGCAAATGATAAGTAATCGGATGCGAATGCATGGAGTATGTAAGCTTCCATGATTCCATAAGGCTGTTACCTTGAACGCCTCGGCAATTGCATTCCAATCCATTTCACACCCAATCGCCGTCAACCATCGCAATCATTCCCCAGGTAGGCTTCCCGTAGTGACCGGATTCGGAACCGCCTGCATGAAATATGCCGATAGACTAGACAGAGCCTCTCCGGCAGCCGTAATTACGATTCTGGGGCCGTGAGGATAGTTGTCTTCAAAGCTAGATGTATCACCGGCACTATTACATGATTCTCCGTCTCTTAGCCTGAGTTATCGATTCTGCATGTTTTCACGTCGGCGCGTACTATTTGGTAGAGTAACCCTGTTGTTCGTCTATTGGCCAGATGTATCTCTATCATGTTATCTGTTGTGCTGATAGGATTCATAGACAAGGATAGTTTTCAGACTTCAATCAACTGACAAAACATTTACGTTCCATCCCACTCAAGTTGCCGTCGACTCTAAACCGCCCACTAACAGCCGTAGCTCAACTACGTAAGCCACCCTCCCATGGGCCATGGAACAACTGCAGAAGCACTGCAGAACGGCTCAACAGGGGGGCTAAATGGACGCCATCTCGCCTGTACGTGTATTATAAATCCATCCCAGCCAATGGAGCATTTCCATTGATCCATCCAGCTACGGAGCAAAATGCCTACCGAGGCAAAGCCTTGATTATCAAGCTTGCAAGCGCCCCCCCCTCCACCTCCAGAACAAAGTGGGCTTTCCGAACTTTCAAATCGAAACGAAGCGAAGCAGCCCGAGAAATCCCCATGAGCTTCTGGTTCTGGGACCAAGGCGTTGGTTCGTTTGGTGGAACGATCTGTGGCCGTGGGTTGGGGTAGTTGTGCGTGTTGTGGACTGGAGGCCCCTGTATAAATGGCAACTTTCTGCGATGAGTATTGATAATTGTGGTGAAGTTTGTTGCATTTCGTCCATTCTGTCCCATTCTGCTTCATTCTCAGATTCCAACTCGTTCCCTGTCACAAACCCCATTTGACTCAAGATCCCTGCAACAAAGGGTCCCGAAGTGCATCAAAGACACTCCTCAGCAACCAAAGCCTCGACAAGGATCGTCGTTCTCGCTATCAACTATCAACTATCAGCTATCAGCTGTCAGTATCACCACCACAATGACGCACTTCCGCATCGACGTCGTCTCAGACACCGTCTGCCCCTGGTGCTACGTCGGCCGCAAGCAAGTCCAGCGCGCCCAGCAGCTCTGGGCCCAGCGCCACCCTTCCTCCGCAGACACCTTCTCCGTCCGCTACGCGCCCTTCCAGCTCAACCCCGACAGCCCGCGCGGGCCGGGCCACAGCGTCGACAAGCAGGGCTACTACGTCCAGCGCTTCGGCGCCGAGCGCACCGCCATGATCCAGGAGCGGCTGCGCGCCGTGGGCGACGCCGTGGGCATCCACTTCAAGTTTGGCGGGCGGGTGGGCAACTCGCGGGACTCGCACCGGCTGATTCACCTTGCGCTGCAGAAGCACGGCGAGGAGACGCACCTCAAGGTCGTGGACGGGCTGTTTGCTGCGTACTTTGAGAACGAAAAGGATATCACCGACTACGATGTTCTCCGGGACGTCGCCAAGGGCGCCGACATTCCCGAGGAGGAGTTCAACAAGGCCATCGTTGAGAGCGACGAGGGAGGCGAGGAGGTGGACGCGGCGGCGGGCACGGCGCGATTCAGGGGCATCAGCGGCGTGCCGGATTACACGATCCAGGGCAAGTACAGGCTGAGCGGCGCGCAGGACGCCACGGAGTTTGTCAAGGTCTTTGAGAGGGTCAAGGCTGAAGAGGATGCGTGAGCTAGATGATGAAGCAAGCATAGAATAGAATAGATGTAGATCAATGCAGATGATGCTCCTATTCTAACATGACATCTAGGGTATTATTTGTTTTCAGGAGACGCTGCTCCTTATATCGAGCCGAAACTCCATGACCAGCACAAAATCAAGCCTCCTCCTTGCTGCGAAACACCACCTCGGCTCTCTTCTCGAGCACATTCTCCCACACTCGCCTCTCCGTGAAGCCCGGCATGTAAAACAGCACCCCAATCTCCTGACTCGTCCACCAGCTCGCTCGGTCCATGTTGCCCGAGCCCAGCACCAAGTACTCGCCATCCACCATTGTCATTTTGAAGTGGCTGAAGACGGGCTCGTCCTCACGACTCGCTCTGGCTTCAAGCTGCTTGTAGTATAGAATCTCCAGCTGGCCCGGAGTGGCGGACTGTGCTTCGACGTCATTCCGCTGCGATCGCTTACACAACGCTTGGTACTTTTTGACGAATTTCCGGATACACCACGACGTCGTTGTTCCGGCCGTAACGAGCTGCTCAATGACCATCATATTGCGGCCCGTACGCACATGCACGTTGACTCCGCGAGAGAGTGCGTCCAGAAGAGCATCCATCACCGGCCAGGACGTGAGGTTCGGCGTGACGATATTGATATCGTGGCGGGCATTGGCAAAGAGGGTAAGCAGCGCGGCGTTGAGGGGTGTCATGGGCGGGTTGGACTGAGACAAGAAGGGAAAGAAACTGAATCGAGGGTTTCGGTGATGTGGCGATGGGAGGAAGATGGTCGGAGATGGTGAAGTACCGGAGAAGCGAATGCATTGCGTCGCTGAGCGGTCATCGTCTCCCTGGTTAATCGGCGATGTGCTTGACGTTTCGGCCTCCGCGTCCATCCGTTCATGGATATCCCTTCTCCAACATTCATTCGTCGTTTCCTGTCTCCTGACCAGCTCTATATCTTCCGTGCTCATCGGCTTCGACGCTCCCCAGACTCGAGCGTGGAAAGACAGCAGCCTGTCAACAACCTCGCCCTCCAGCTCCACGCATCCTTCGAACCATCTCTCCCAGCTCACGTTGCAGCTCGGCACCCAGGCCTTGGATTCATCGACAATGACATATTTCGGATGCATGACACTGATCGGGGTGAAGAAGAGGCTCTTGACCGTCATCTCAATGCCGCCCTTTCTCAGCGTCTCCTCATCCGGCAAACCCAGGCTTGCCCATTTCGAAGGCGGGTAGACGTATCCCTCGAGCGACGCCGTGTGGAACAGTTTCTGGAACAGCCCCCAAGACGAGAATCCGATGCTGATCTGCAATGTAGGCAACGGCTCTCTTGATCTTGATCGTGCCTCAGCCAGCTTGACGAGCGTTTGCCGGAGGCCGTCGAGGGAAGGGGAGGCAGCCCAGTAGCACGTCACAAAATGGACCGAGTATTTGGCTGAGGCGATGGCAGGCAAGATTGCACGTGTAAAGATGGTGTGACCGGTGCCAACGTAGAGCAGCTTGGGGGTGCTGGTGGTCATGAGGGAGTCGATGGCTTCAGCTGTATTGTAGCTGGGAGAGTCTCCAGAGCGCTGGTCCCGGTTGGAGAGGAGCAAGTCGCGCCATGGCTTTACGAAGGACTCGGGGAATTCCAATGGCTGTGGCATGAGGAGGAGAAGTAAGAGTGGCTGAGATGGATAGACAAAAACGGCAATTGAGGGTGAGTTGAGACGAGTTGAGGTGGGAAGATGATGAGAGAGTCCGACTGATGTCGAGGATGAAATGACGACTGCACAGCCACACGTGTACTCCGTAACAGCGTCACTGAAGCAAACAGCACCTGCACGTTCGTTTCACTGCCACGTGGAAACAATCTAACAGAACGTGATATTACAGCCAAGAAATAAAAAAGGAGATGCACTCGACTTCTGCCAACAAGAACTGGCTGCAAGCAAGATGACGATGATATGCGTCAATGATGAGATAGAAAAAAGGCAAAAAATAACTGTCCTCGGTGAGGCTCGAACTCACGACCTTCAGATGGCCCAAACTGATGTTTGGATCATATTGATTAATATGAGACTGACGCGCTAGCCAACTGCGCCACGAAGACTTGTTATTGATATGCAGGGGAGAGTAAGCCATTATGAAGGATTCCCCAAACTTGACACCGTTCATTCATGTGCCTGGAGCTCCAGGTCAAAGCATTTCTCATAGCAATTTTGTCTCCTTTTCTTTCAATTTTTCCTTCATATGTATTGTCTCTTCTTCAAGCTTGCTGAAAAGAGCGCTGTTATGAGATATTCCAGGATTGATGCGGTTGATGCTTGATTAGGTAAGTCCATGTAAAGGAATTGGACGCTTTCGAATTATACCTTAGCCCGAGGTAGCTCGAGCTCAGCAATGCTAATAGAAGCGCCAAACTGTTTGGGTGAGTGCTCTATTCATACAATTTTGTCAACCTGTTAATAGACGATAGAGCTCACAGTCCATTGCATAGATGCAGACTTTGTAACGTACCTTAGCCATAGACGTGCGATTGAGCCCGAATACAGGTCCGTATCCATCCCGTCTCACCCGCACTCCTCCACAGCGCTGCAGTGCCATCATTCAGGGGACTCCAGCAGCCAACCGCCCCTGTAGCAGCTCCCTCTAGCGCCATCATCACGCGCCTCGGCGGGGCGCCAGCACCTGCACCCTGAATCCACTCCAATCAACCGCGAACCGCTAATCGCAGCCTCACCTCGAACAACTCCAGCAGCTCAACGACGGGATCCTCGAGTCCGCGACTTCTCTCCGTCCCCCCCTCCTTTTTCTTTCTCTTCTCTTTCCCCTCTCCTCTTCATCACCGCCACGATGCTCTCCGGCGTGCTCATCTTCAACCAAAAGGGCGAGAACCTCATCTTCCGCGCCTTTCGCAACGACTGCCGCCCTCGCCTTGCCGACGTCTTCCGGATCCAGGTCATCTCCAACGCCCAGGTGCGGTCGCCCATCCTGACGCTGGGCAGCACGACCTTCAGCCATGTCAAGCACGAGAACATCTACCTGGTGGCCATTACCAAGAGCAACGCCAATGCCGCGCTGGTCTTTGAGTTCCTCTACCGGCTGATCCAACTGGGAAAGGGGTACTTTGGCAAGTTTGACGAGGAGGCCGTCAAGAACAACTTTGTGCTGATCTACGAGCTGCTGGACGGTAATTGGTCGCGCGCTCCTTTTGTGCTTGCTCTCCTCTAACACTTACGCTCGCAGAAATCATCGACTTTGGATACCCGCAAAACACCGAGACCGACACGCTCAAGATGTACATCACCACCGAGGGCGTCAAGTCCGAGTCGCGCCCCGAAGACACGTCCAAGATCACCATGCAGGCCACCGGCGCGCTGTCCTGGCGCAAGGCCGACGTCAAGTACCGCAAGAACGAGGCCTTTGTCGATGTCATCGAGGACGTCAACCTGCTCATGTCGGCCACCGGCGCCGTCCTGCGAGCCGACGTCACCGGCCAGATTATCATGCGCGCCTACCTCTCCGGCACCCCCGAGTGCAAGTTCGGCCTCAACGACCGGTTGCTGCTCGACAACGACGGCCTGCTGAGCCTCCCTAGCGGCAACAAGATGGGCACCAAGGCCACCAAGGCCGCGGCCGGTAGCGTCACGCTCGAGGACTGCCAGTTCCACCAGTGCGTCAAGCTGGGCAAGTTCGACTCGGACCGCATCATCAGCTTCGTGCCGCCCGACGGCGAGTTCGAGCTGATGCGCTACCGCGCCACCGAAAACGTCAACCTGCCCTTCAAGGTGCACGCCATCGTCAACGAGGTCAGCCGCACAAAGGTCGAGTACAGCATCGGCGTCAAGGCCAACTTCGGCTCCAAGCTCTTCGCGACCAACGTTGTCATCAAGATCCCGACGCCCCTCAACACCGCCAAGATCACCGAGCGCTGCACCCAGGGCAAGGCCAAGTACGAGCCCAGCGAGAACGTCATCGTCTGGAAGATTGGCCGCTTCACCGGCCAAAGTGAATACGTCCTGACCGCCGAGGCGCTGCTGACCAGCATGACAAATCAGCGGGCCTGGAGCCGGCCGCCCCTGAGCATGAACTTTAGCCTGCTGATGTTTACCAGCTCAGGCCTGCTGGTGCGCTATCTAAAGGTGTTTGAGAAGAGCAACTACTCGAGTGTCAAGTGGGTGCGGTACATGACGAGAGCAGGTTCATATGAAATAAGGTGAGCGCCCCCTGACCGCAACTCTTCTTATATGCTAACCTTGAATCCTCCAGATTTTGAGGCGAATTAACTGTATCATGATGGATTTATTGGCATGTATGGCGTTGAAGGGACACTTGGGCAAAAGCTTATAATATCATTGCATTCTTAATGTCACCAATCGGTATATCACCGTCACTCCCAGCAGGGCTTCAGCGTCTTCTCCTCCGCAACCGAGGCTACAGTTTCCCACATGTGCAATCTTCGTGGCGGCAGTGCAACTGCGGCGGGGGCAGTCCTGGCTGGCTCAAATCTGTGTGATGCGTCTACAAAATCGGCTATTGGAGCACGATGCCATTGAGACTTTTACGCGCCAAGGTACGAAATCATGCTGGTCTCAGCGCAAAAGTTGTGACACAGTGACTTTGACAGCCCGCCTTTCGTGCTGCATACCCTCGGATCCGTCCGCGGCTGGCTGCAGAAAATATGTCAGATCCCCCTCTTATCCGTCTACGTTGCCCAATCCGGGTCTGGCAAGCCTGCTTCTCACATCTCCCCTGCTTAACATCATCGCGGCATCTTCTCAAGAGCCTTTGAAAAGGCACCCTTTTACTGACAGTGTCTGAAGATGATTCAGATATGCAGCATTCGGTCCGAAACACTGCGTCTCTGGAGGTTCAGAGTCTGCTCTTCTTTTTCCCCGACCTTTGATGGTATGCTCAATTTCAGCTGGGATCCAGTCCGCCGAAAGACGATTGTTTGCCATAACCACGCCTCGCTCAGCGTGCGCGTGTCATGAACCTCATTCAGGCGCCAGAAGGGTGAAGGACAGAAAGAAGACAAATCGACACAACCTCTCCTCCCCTCACATCTCTTGACAAGCAGAGTCGAGCCCCGCTTGTACCCTCAGGGGACGCCACGAAAGGTGTTTCTTTCCTGTGGGTGTGACGGTGTGCCTTGGGCCGGCAACCCGCGTGCTTTCTTCGTTCCAACGTTACTGTGTGACTGTCTCTTAACCTCTGCATTGACCTCGAAATCGATATGATGGGTTTCCAAGCTGGCCAAAGGACCATTATTGGGAGTATCGGCCGGCTCGACCGACATCAGCTTTGAGTTCCAGACATGGGGCATTATATTGGAGTGGCAAAGATAGCCGAAAACGCAGAGCAAGGACCAGCCTCATCTTCTCGACGCAGCTCAAGCGCTGACTAGACAGCGGTCCTTCCATTGTTACACCAGCTCATGGCCGTGGCATGTGCTTTCTCCGAGACCGAGCGTGGAGGTATCGGGCCCCGGGTTTATCAACGTGGAAATCACGACTTCCTACGAGCTCGTGGCTGAAGTGCAAGCCTTGCAAAGGCTTGCCTTCTATGTGCCATTCCAACACTGTCGATTCGTTCCGTGGCGTTGAGATGCCAAATTCAGCCATATATCCGGACAGGTCGATACACCTGAATGTCTCATACTTTCTATGCAGGTTCTACACCAGCGGCGCATTTACCCACCTCGCATGGAACCTTATTCACCCAGACAGTATCACGACAAGTCGCAGGTCTCCTCTCCTCCGTGGTCCGACGGCGTCGATTTTTCTCCCTCAAGAGCACATAGCTCTGGTGGCACCTGCAATTTCCCAGGAGGCTTCAGGCGGCCCCGTCCTTTTGTGACCTGGTAACCACGGCTTTGGGCAGGCTTCTAGAAGGATTCTTGTTGTCTCCTGCTCAGACGCATGTTCGCCTTTCCGACGGAACATCCTCGATCTCAACACGTGCAGAACATATCCAACCACTTTCTGATGTGCAGCAGGCGAGCCACAGGGCTTCCCGCCGCTCAGTCAAGGGAATCGCAATACTTGATCGAGCTGCGGGCCCTTGAAGTGTTCTCAAGCCACTCTTCGCCCTTCTGACACTCTGCCCATTGTCGACATATTTTGAGATCAGAAAATGTCTTATCCTCTGTACTCCCCCTCTTTCTGCGCCGAGGTAAAGTGGTCTTATTCTTGCGTCAGGCACTGCGTCCATCGCCAGCAGGCTCGGAGACATGGCTCCATGAGGACGGTGGTAAGCACACGGCAGACTCCCCCCGTCGCTGGGGAAAGCAGTCCTACAATGGCTTCGATTTGAGGCGTATTGGAACGGACAAGTGCCCCAGCCGGTAAGCGAGGGCCGAGGACAAGATGTTGCCAGTTGATTGCGTCGCAGGATATCGCATGTCGAGATATCGGCGAGAGTATAAATGGATCCTGCTGCTCGTTCGAGATGGATTGTTAGCCCGAGTCATCCACAGGGACAGTCACTACATCATCAGCTTATAGACCCCCAGACAGACAACATTAACGCGTTTTCGGTTCAATCCTGCGCATCTCGCAATCTGTTGTGCCTTCTTTGCACAGTATCTGGACCACTTCACCGAACCTCTTCAACGACGGAAAGGGGCTTTGGTGTTGTGAAGATATTAGCGCCCTTGACGCTGCTCCGACAATCCACAACACACTCCGCTGCCTTCTCTTCAAGCTGCGTACCTTTGACTTGTTGTGGAAGCACTGTTTCTGGTCCTGACCCTGTGTCGTAGGGGTCAACAACTTTGGCGCAGAGTGTTCAAGGTCTCAAGAGATACGCTTCGTGGTGCGAATGCACAAGACGTGTCTGTAAGAAGACGCTGAAGACAGAGGACAAACCCAGTTCTCGAGACAGTAGTGGTTGGACAGGACAGCACAGGACGGAAACCACCACCATCAACATCATTGTCTTTGCGGCCTCAGGGCTCTGCCTGCTCTTCTGCTTTCACATCCCCGCGGAGACATTCCGCGAACCTTCCAACTCCTCGATCAGCAAGCCGTCCTTAAGCGGCTTGCCGGAGACACAAACCAGAGTCAATAAAGCCACATCTCCGTGCTGCGAGACGCCAAGCATCCCAAC